CGACCCCCGAGGAGATGATAGAGAGAGATCATAGCGGCGATCAGCTGCGACCCCCGTGAATGACCATGGCCCCTGACCCACGGATTCGGGGCATGGCTGAGGGGAGAGGCGTTGCTTCCCCTCGCCTCTCCCTTCTCGGGCCAGGCGGGTGCCCCCCGCCCTTGGCCCCGGGGCCCGCCTTTTTTTTTTTTTTGAGCACTGCAAGGACGTCGGACGTGGTTGCCCCCCCCCCCCCCCCCCAGGGCCGCCCGTGCTCCCCGCTGCCCGTGGTCTGGCTCATCGCTCTCAGCGGCGGCTAGCTGCGGCCCTGGAGGACCACGTTGTGTGTGTTGGCGTTCCCCGGGTCTTGGGCGGAAGTGCCAAGCGGCGGACTGGGTCTGACTTTGCCCCTATGACATCGGCTCGCCCCCTCGCACAGGCGCCGCTCGCCTTAGGGCGTCGGCGCGCCTGGCTCGCACAGACGCCGCGTGCCTCGGGAGGCACAGCCAGGCCTATTCACTTGGGATGCGCTCGTCCTTGGTTCAGTTTGGCGTCCTCCTGAAGGCACCACTACCACCAGTGCCGCCCCCCCCTTTCTCTCCACGCTGGCGATGCTCACCGCGCCAGCTGCCCCCCCCCCCCCCCTCTGAGGCCTGACGCCGTGCCAGCACGCGCTGCGTGGCCCACAGTCGCTTGGTCCCCCCTTGCACTGTGGGGTGGTCTGACGGTTGGTGGCATCGCCTCGGAGTGGTTCAGCTTTCCGCGGCAGCTACAGCACCCCAGGCCCACCACCAGCTTCCGGCAGGTTGCGTTGCACCACGTCCCGCGGCAGCTCAGCCCCCCTAGCTAGCACACGTCGTCCAGGGCGTTTGGAGCCTGGCGCCCCACCGGCGACTCACTCCACCGGCCTCGCACTCGCCCCCACTTAGATTGACGGACTTGGTTGTCCTGGTTCACGTCTCATATTGTGGCAGGCACCGAATGCGCTGGCCACTCGAATTCTGGTCATTTTGTCCAGTGCACGTGCACGTGCCCGAGCTTGCAGCACGCCAGCCAGTTCAGCGTCACCCAGCCTGCAGCCGCCGTCTGAGTGTGCCGGCCGGCGCCTCTGCTTAGCAATTAGCCTCGCCCGTGGCCCGGACGTTGCCCTCGCCGCCTGACCGTCGCCTCGCGGCCGCGACCAAAAAAGTATCCCCACCAGCGTCTCATTGTAGGCCCATTCGCCTACGTGGAAGGGGTCGCACGGCACCGTGCCTCACAATTGCGGTGGATTGCTGGTTCTACGGTCGGCGCTTGCAGACTCAACGCCGAGGGAACGTTTGATGATTCAGTGAATGACGTCATCGCATTGTGGGCGCCGTCGAATTCACAGCCGTTTTGGCATGCTATTGGGTCCTCGCCTGGTGTTCTGAGCTGCGATTGAGCCCGCCCCCGCCGCTTAGGTTGCATTCTTACCCGCCGCTTGTCTGCTGAGCGCGTTCGGTTCGTTCTAGGCCGCTGTAAGTGAGGCCGTTGCTAGTCGGCAGTCTCCTGACGGCGAGCGGTTCTTCCGATTGCGCTCGCGAACAAAAAGTACCCCCACCAGCTGTAGTTTTGGACGGCGCGCGGCCCTTCCGTTCGCGCTCGCGATCAAAAAGCATCCCCACCAGCCCATCCAGAAACAGATCGCCAGGCGAATTGCCTTGATCAAGGAAGTATAGATGCATGCAGTGCAACAACCGCCGTGGAGGTGTTTTCTGGGAGGCTTCTTGGAGCCATCTTGGGTCTCTCCTGGGGCCCTCGCAGAGCGGTTAGGGGAACTGTTGGGCCCTTTGGGGGCTCTTTTGGAGGGTCCAGGGCTTTTTGGGGGTGTCTGGGGGTCCTTTTCGGGCCACCTTCGCCCCCGAGGCCCACAAAGAGAGGCATAACGGATTCAGACCCCGCCCCCAGAGGCTCAAACATATGTTCGTGGGCGCTCTTGGGGCCGTCTTAGAGCCCGCAGCGGAGGGAATGGGACGACCCGCAGGACCGCTCTCACAAGACACCCTGGCGCGCCACTCTGTGGACACGCAGTGAAGACAAAGGGATGGCAGAGTCGAGACATGGCTCGAAACCACCAACCGCTTGAAAGCTGCCTGCGGCGCCCTCCTCGTTGACGGTTGGAACAGGGACTGCGGCCAGAAAGATGGGAAGTGCTTCGGAAGGGGGACGTAGAATCCCCGCGGCTACGATGGAATCAGCCGCGCCTTCCTCGGTGACCTGGCCGAGGTTCAGTACGACATCCGCACCCTCTGCCAGTCCCGCAACCTGGAAGTCGACTGGAACGCAGTCCGGCAGCAGCAGCAGCAGCAGCAGCCTGAGAACCGCTTGAGCCAGGCAGCCAGAGGGAAGGGCCAAGGAGGCAAGCGCCCCAGCGAGGCATCCGACCAGTCCCGTGTTCGCGTGGGCCCCCATGGCGCCAGACCTACGACGGCCCAGCCACATTTCCTGGACCCGCGGGACGCGTCACCGACCCACCTGGCCTGCGACCACAGCGAGGTGCCTCCCACCCCGGGAGGTGCCCCGCGTCTGTGATCCACCTGTCTGCGCACCTGTTAGGTGCGTTTCGCTCGGCGCGCCCCCCGCCCCAGGCGGCGCGCCGGACTTCGCCCCCCGGACGCGCCACCCACCCCAAGTGGTGCGCTTGGATGCTGTGGGCTTGCCCCAGCTTCTGTTCAACTTGTCTGCTCGCCGGTTAGGTGCGTTCTCACGGGCACGTCGCCCACCCCAGTTGACGTGCCCTTCCCGGCTCCTGGCGCGTCATCCACCCCAGGCGTGGCGATGTCCGCCCGTCCGCTTTTCCGCGGCTGTCTGCGCACCAGCTAGATGCTTTTCACTTTGCGCGCCCTCCACCCTAGACGGCGCGCCCCCTACCCCCCGCGGGCGCGGCATCGCGCCCAGGTGCTGCGCCGCGCGCCGGTTGAGTCCTAGCCCAGCTCGGGGCCACCTGTCCGCACGCTGGCCGCGTGTTCATGGCTTCAGCGCGCGGAGCGCCAGCCGCCCCTGGCCGCGCGCCCCCCCCACACCGCCCGACGCCGCGGCGCCGCGACGCGCGCTCTACCTCGGGCCGCACCAGCCCCAGCGCGTTTGGCGCACACGCCGCCCTCCTGGCCATGGGCCCAGCAGGTTGGCACTTGCCCATGCCTGGCAGCTCGCGCCGCCGCTGCGTCGCTCTCCCTTTTTGCCTCCTGGCTGCCCGCCAGGAGACGTCGCCCAGCTCCTGTTTCCGCTGGACGCCGCCTTGTTCATGGTTGCGATGCGCGCACCAGCCCTGAGCTCGGCCCGCTGCCTCTTTGCCCCCCCCCCGCCGCCCCTCGCCTTTTGCGTGGCCTTCACGCGCTGCGCCGCTCTGCGGCACGCAGTCACGTGGGTTCCCTCTGGCCAACCTGCTTTGCCTGGCCCTTTTGCCCCGGCCTCGCCGCCCCTCCCTCCTCGCGACACGATCGCGCTTCGCCTCCGCCACACCGCGCCAGCGCAGGGCCATTCGCCCAGCCCACCGCAGCAGTCCCGCGCAGCCACCACCAGCCCCCCTTCACCGCGCCCCCAGCCCGCCGCCCTGGCGGCACGCCGGCCCTGCAGCTCCCTACTTGCTGGGCACCGCACTGCACTGCTGCCGCCGGCTGCTCCCTGGGTGCGCCCGCGACGCCGCCCCGCGCTCGCTGCCAGGAGCTGCCCTGCGGCCGGGCCGCCCTGCGCGCACCTTCGCGGCTTCGCCGCGTGAGCACGCCCTCTTTTCCCACGCTTTGTTTCCGCGGCCGCATCTCATCTTCTCCGCTGCTCTTGCACGCGGGACACAGCGCAATACCATTGCCCGGGTTGCCTGGACGCGCGCGCGGACTGCCGCTGCCGCGCTGCGACGCAAAGAAGTGCATTTAGCGCGTAGCCTCCGGATGACCCAAATTTGATTCCAGCCATGTATGTTTAGAGCTGTGTTTCCTCCTCATTGTGTTTTTTTTTCCTCCTCCTCTGGAAGCCCACCGGGCACCGCGCCAGATTCGCCCTGGTCTTTCTATGGCTGGCACGATGGAGGAGCGCACTCTCTGACACAATCTGCCGCGGCTGCGCGTACATGCTGCCGGAACCAGGCAAGGACACCACGAATTGGCAATTCGACTAGAGGCACAGCAAACAAGAAATCGGCCTGCCAGTAGGGGCCCCGCGGAAATTTGTGATCCTCCACTGAAACCAAGGATACAGAATCTCTGGGGCACGTCAGGACCCTCAGAAATCGATTGGAAAAGTCCCCAGCGAGTCTTTTATCACGCGATTTCTTGGCGCGTGTGTTTAGTGTCCGGCAAGGAGGCAGTTCTTTATCAGGGATGCCCTTGCGTCCGTGCAGATTCGACCCATATTTGGCCACAGGTCGCTGAGTTGTTGGCCCAATGCCGCCCTCAAATCGTCCAAGGGGCTCGCATCGTGTTCTCTCACCTTTGCTGCGGATTGTCGCTGCCCTTCTCTTCCCCCATCCCACCCTCCACCTTCACACAAGTCGAAGAGTTCAAAACGGCATAAACATAAACGTTCGGAGGTCCGCGCGGATTTATTGGGTCGGCACTGGGAACCCCTGGCGGCGCCTCCAGCGCCGGCTTTAGCGCGCTCCCTCCGCGCGCCATGGAAGGGGGTTCAGCGCAGATGCAAGGAATCCTTGCGGACCTTTGAAATTGAGTGTTTACCTTGCTGTTCTGCTTCTATTGTTTCCCATCCCACCCTCCCCCCTTCACATTTGAGCGACCCAAGACCCACGGTTCCAAGATCCCCCCCTCACTTCAGAAGTTCTTAGCATCTCGACGCTCGGGCCCGCTCCCCCCGCAGCTGCGGCTGCGCCAATCATGAAAGAGACCGCCCCTCCCCGTTATGGGCCAGCGTCTCGTCGCCAGCTTCCAAGCCTCCTGTGTTGGCCACACTTGTCTCGATTCGGATCGCTTGACGTTGCACTTGCCGAAGCCCCGCATTAATGTGTTGATCTTGGCGCGTCGCCTCCATACCCCGTACGCTATCACCGAGGACGCAGAGCGCTCCAACATCCTCAAGAATGAGAATGAGAGCAAGGCGGGGCCGTAGCGCGTGTGCGCCCAGCATCTCCCAGAGCTACTGATGGAGGGCGACACATTGGCGAAGGCGAGGGAGAAAGGGGGGAGGAGACGGGGAGCCAAGAGAGGAGGGAGGGAGGGAGGGGAGGGTGGAGACACAGAGAGAGAGGAGAGGGAGGGGCGAGGAAGGGACAGAAGAGAGGGAGGGAGGAGCGAGGAGTGAAGAGGGAGAGGAGAGGATGGGAGGAGGGCGAGCGGAGGAGGGATGATGGAAGGTCGAGCGTGGGTCCCCCCTGCAGCTTCAGGACTGCTCTGCCGTGGGCCCACGGGTCGACCGCCTCGCGCCCCGGTGCTGGTCCGGTGCCTCGCCACCAGAAGTTCCTTTCCATCCTCCTCCTCCTCCTCCTCCTCCTCCTCCTCCTCCTCCTCCTCCTCCTCCTCCTCCTCCTCCTCCTCCTCCTCCTCCTCCTCCTCCTCCTCCTCCTATTCGCCAGCATGGAGGGCGATGGCCCGCGACTTCCACACAACGGGCCGCCAATGCATAGCGACGGGCCGTGGACCCCCCCCCCTCCCGCCCCCCCCCCAGGGCCCAGGCATCTCTGAGAACCGGGGGCCAGGCCTCCGCCTGGTGCAGGCGCCAACGGCGGCGAGCCAATCCCGTCTGGTCCCCCCGGGGGGAGGGGGAGGAGGAAAAGGAGGAGGGTGAGGAGGGAGGGGAAGGGGGGGCGGGGGGTGCACGGAGGAAAAGGGAGGGAGGGGGAAGGAGTGAGGAGTGGAGAAAGGGCGGTGGGGGGAGGGGAGGGGGGGGGAAGAGGGGGGGAGGGGGAGAAGGAGAAGAGGAGTGGGTGCCAGGCCTGGGCGCTGATGTTCGGCGGGCACGAGGTTCGGCCGCGCGTCGCGGGTGTCAGCGCCAACGGAGGTGAGCCGGGCCCACTTGGTGCCCACTGGCTGGCCCTGGCTTGGGAGCCACGTGGGGCCGACCCCCCTTTTGCCCTCCCTCCGCTGACCCGGGCGGCGAGCACCATACACATTGCAGGTGTTTCCCCGAGTGCGGTGTGCGCGGTGCCATCTTCGGGCCGCCGGGGGCCGTCAAAGACAGTCCGCAAGGGCAGTGCGAGCATTCACCCGCCTCATTCTGTTCGCGTCGCTTCGTCGTCTCGTCTGACTGCCCTGGCCATTTTCGCGACGTGGAAAAATCACGACGGGAGGTTATGGGCTGTTCTCGGCCTCTCGGAGCCTTTGCAGGGCTCCGGGACCGTAGAAAACATACTGGGGGCGAAAAGTTTGTTTGTGGAACGGGGCCCAGACCCCTGGGGAGCCATGCTGCGACAGAAAGCACGACGCCGGACGTCTGGGGGGAGGAAGTGGTTGGTAGAGCTTCCCCCTCGGCCCTGGCGGGGCGCCCCCATCTCGCCCGCCCCATTCTAGCGCTCGCCCCGGGAGGCCGTCAGCGCGCAGCTCATGGCCGCGAGGGAGAAGGGCGACGAGCTGCGCAGAAGACAGGACGGACCCGGCTCGCCCTCGGGAGGCGAGGCGGGGCGAGAGCTTCTGATCGCACGAGAAGCAGTGCCCCCGAAGCGCAACGGGCGGCCACGTGGCGAGTCCTCGACATGCCCTCTGAGGCGGCAGCAAGGCGACGACGCGGCGAAGCCTCGACGGACCCGCGAAGTGGGCTGCAACGAGGCAGGGCGGGGGACTCCAGGCCGCCGTGCCTCGGGATCGGAGCAGATGGGTTCGGAGGATCGCGCCGCACTCGGCAATGCGGCCCGATGTGGAGCCCGTTTTTTCTCCACACTATAGTGCCGCCGATGCATCGCCTATGCATTGCCGACGCATCGCCGATGCGGCGTGATCGTCCGACCCAATCTGCTCGGACCCGATGAGGGAGTCCACTAGAGACCTGGATCGAGGAGAGATATTCGCACAAACAGACACTCCCGGAGGCCCGCGCGGGCCTCCTGGATCGGCGTTGGGCCCCGAGTTTCTGATGGACTTAGGAGCCCAGGAAGCGGCCCCCGAGGCCGACTTGGAGGAGGAGAGACGCTGAGATCGGAAAACGGCATCAACCTGCGGAGATCCAGCGATGGGCGCACCGTCGAGCCAGCGACCGCGGCCACGGATGCGGGTGGCGCGAGGGCCCATCGCGCGCGCGCGCCAGGAGTTGCACAACCGGGAGCTCGCCGCCGCCCAGCGAGCCAGGCACCAGGCGGAGGAGGAGGTCCGCGAGCTGGAGTACCAGCTGCAGCTCCAGCGCAACGCCTCCAGGGGGGGATCAGGGGCAACGTTAGGGGGGCAATGGACTCAGGGGGGGGACGCATCGACCCTCAATGGCGTATTCATCGTCGAAAGGGGCTCGATAGCCCACCCCGCCCAGGACTGTGCGGACTCGCTATCGAGAGCGGTTCGCCGATCTATCGGCGATGCATCGCCGATGACAAGTCGATGTGTCCCTCCCTGAGCTGGTCCCCCTTAACGTTCCCCCTCAAGGAGTGGCATGGCCTGGGGCGTGCGCACAGACAGCCCTGGGGAGGAGGAGGAGGAGGAGGAGGAGGAGGAGGAGGAGGAGGAGGAGGAGGAGGACGGGGGCGGTCACCGCGCACTGGTGGAAGATGACGGGGTCCCTGGACCCAGCGGGGGGCCGAGGCCCAGGGGGGCCGCGCGCGAGCCTCGGCGAAGACCCAGCCACGATCGAGGGCCCGACACCGCCGTCCCCAGACGGCACAGCCCTGGGCCCCATCCCCATCAGCTCCCCCTGCAGCCAGACTGTGTCCTCCTCGAGGCCTCGAAACGACGGACAGCCCAGGAGGAGGGCGAGGGGCCGAGGGGTGAAGGAACCTCCGGAGGCGGGACCTCTGGGCCTTCAACGCTTGGTGCTTGGGCCCCGAGCAGGCTCCAGCACGACGGGGGGCGCCGCTGGAGACATAGCAGGAGGAGCAGGAGGAGCAGGAGGAACAGGAGGAGGAGGAGGAGGAGGAGGAGGAGAAGGAGGAGGAGGAGGGGGAGGCGGTCACCGCGTGCTGGTGGAAGATGACGGGGTCCCTGGACCCAGCGGGGGGCCGAGGCCCAGGGGGGCCGCGTGCTGAGATTGCCAGGCGCTATTCCGGGGGTCGATTTGGGCCAGCTCTGCTCCTCCTGGTCCTCCTCCTCCTCCTCCTCCTCCTCCTCCTCCTCCTCCTCCTCCTCCTCGTCCCCACCCTTCGCCTCGCTCCCCCTGGCTGCGTCGCGGTGGCATCGCGAGGGGGAAGGAGTGTGAGCAGGAGGAGGAGGAGGAGGAGGAGGAGGAGGAGGAGGAGGAGGAGAAGATCAATCGTCCCAGAGCGTTCCAGAACGCTTTCAAAGTGCTCCGGAGAGGTCTGACGCTGGAACGGCCGCTGCGCCCGATGCATGTTCCAGATCCGCCAGCTCTCAGAGAGTCCAGATGTATCCTCGCCCGATGTTGCTCATCACCCTACGCTCGTTTCAGGGAGGGGCCCAGACATCCGCCGAGATGACTTCTTCCAGTCCGCGGCCACAGAGGCCCCTCTGCTGCCCAGGGCGGGCGTCTCGCCCCGTGGCCGTGGTTGATGCTCGGGGCCCGCGGGAGGCTCCCCGAGGGCCGGAGACAGGGCCACAGCACCCGACTGCGAGGTAGGGCCCGAGGGGGAGAGGAGAAGATGCCGCCCCTGGGTGATGATGTTCCAGCCTACCTTAGCCTTGATCTAGGGGAACAACAAGTGTCATAAACATAAGAACTCGGAGGTCCGCGCGGATTTCTCGGATCGGCGCTGGACCCCCCTCCCCGGCGCGCTCCACGCGCCAGGGGCGGCTCCGGAGGCGCCGCCAGGGGGCCCCAGCGCGGATCCGAGAAATCCGCGTGGACCTCCGAGTCTTTATTTTAATGCCACTTTTTGTTCCCCTATGATCACCAGAAAGAATTTCGAGCGCCCGAGAACTCGAGGGTCTTCACGTGCGGGGCCATGGGAGACACTCTTTCGACACTATTTCGACACTTTTCCGGGTGCTCGAAATTATTTCTGGGAAATAGCCCTTAAGTACGATGGGAGCAACGTAACCCTTGGGGCGCGGGAGAGGGCCCAGAGAAGCTGACGGGCGCGCTCGAGGGGCAGCCTTAAGTCGGGCCTGTCCCCCTTACAGGGGGATTGTCGACGAAAGATAGGAAATACCCCAAAAAGATAATCCAAAGATAGTCCAAAAATGGTCTGGGGACTATTTCTTTAGTATTTGTTGACAATTTGGGGGCATTGTTGGAGTGTTGTTCCCCATATCCTAAGGATTGGGGTTCTTGTTATTACTCTGACGCCTCCCACTCCTCCTCCTCCTTTTTCCTCCCGCTCGCGCCTCCCTCCTCCCAATGATAATCACCAGATAAGACAAGACAAGATAAGATACTACAAGATAAGATAAGATAGCACAAGATATAATAAGAAGATATTTCAAGATAATATAAGATAAGTTAAGCTCACACTCACACTCTCTCATGATCACAAAACGCTGCCAGGGGCATCACTTGGGAGCCCCAAGGGGGAGCCACCCTGGCTGATCTCACGAGCCCGTTCGCGCCGATTTTGGTGGGACGTCTCAGCTAGAATTGCCGTTTGGCGCCCCCAACATGTATCTCTTGAGAGCCTCATGGTCACAAAACGCTGCCAGGGGCATCATTTGGGAGCCCCAAGGGGGAGCCACCCTGGCTGATCTCACGAGCCCGTTCGCGCCGATTTTGGTGGGACGTCTCAGCTAGAATTGCCGTTTGGCCTCCCCAACATGTATCTCTTGAGAGCCTCATGGTCACAAAACGCTGCCAGGGGCATCATTTGGGAGCCCCAAGGGGGAGCCACCCTGGCTGATCTCACGAGCCCGTTCGCGCCGATTTTGGTGGGACGTCTCAGCTAGAATTGCCGTTTGGCGTCCCCAACATGTATCTCTTGAGAGCCTCATGGTCACAAAACGCTGCCAGGGGCATCATTTGGGAGCCCCAAGGGGGAGCCACCCTGGCTGATCTCACGAGCCCGTTCGCGCCGATTTTGGTGGGACGTCTCAGCTAGAATTGCCGTTTGGCGCCCCAAACATGTATCTCTTGAGAGCCTCATGGTCACAAAACGCTGCCAGGGGCATCATTTGGGAGCCCCAAGGGGGAGCCACCCTGGCTGATCTCACGAGCCCGTTCGCGCCGATTTTGGTGGGACGTCTCAGCTAAAATTGCCGTTTGGCCTCCCCAACATGTCTCTCTTGAGAGCCTCATGGTCGCAAAACGCTGCCAGGGGCATCATTTGGGAGCCCCAAGGGGGAGCCACCCTGGCTGATCTCACGAGCCCGTTCGCGCCGATTTTGGTGGGACGCCTCAGCTAGAATTGCCGTTTGGCGTCCCCAACATGTATCTCTTGAGAGCCTCATGGTCGCAAAACGCTGCCAGGGGCATCATTTGGGAGCCCCAAGGGGGAGCCACCCTGGCTGATCTCACGAGCCCGTTCGCGCCGATTTTGGTGGGACGTCCTCAGCTAGAATTGCCGTTTGGCGCCCCCAACATGTATTCTTGAGAGCCTCATGGTCACAAAACGCTGCCAGGGGCATCATTTGGGAGCCCCAAGGGGGAGCCACCCTGGCTGATCTCACGAGCCCGTTCGCGCCGATTTTGGTGGGACGCCTCAGCTAGAATTGCCGTTTGGCCTCCCAAACATGTATCTCTTGAGAGCCTCATGGTCACAAAACGCTGCCAGGGGCATCATTTGGGAGCCCCAAGGGGGAGCCACCCTGGCTGATCTCACGAGCCCGTGACGAGAGAGAGAGAGAGAGAGCAAGAGAGAGAGAGAGAGGAAGCGAGAGAGAGGGAGAGGAGAGAGAGAGAGAGAGAGAGAGAGGGGGAGTTGAGAGAGGAGACAGGCGAGAGAAAGAGAGAAGAGAGAAGAAAGAGAGAGAGAGAGAGGAGAGAATAGAGAAAAGAAAGAGAGAGAGATAGAGATAGAAGAGAGAGAGAGAGAGGAGAGAGAGAGAGAGAGAGAGAGAGAGAGAAAGTGGAGAGAGAGGGGGGGGGGATAGAGAGAGAGAGAGAAGAGAGAGAGAGAGAGAGAGAGAGAGAGAGAGAGAGAGAGAGAGAGAGAAAGTGGAGAGAGAGAGAGAGAGAGAGAGAGAGAGAGAGAGAGAAGAGAGAGAGAGAGAGCGAGAGACGAGAGAGAGAGAGAGAGAGAGAGCAGAGAGAGAGAGAGAGAGAGAGAGAGCGGGAGAGAGCGAGGGAGAGCGAGAGAGAGCGAGAGAGAGCGAGTGAGAGCGAGAGAGAGAGAGAGAAAGAAAGAGAGAGAGCGAGAGAGAGCGACAGAGAGCGAGAGAGAGCAAGAGAGAGCGAGAGAGCGAAAGAGAGAGAGAGAGAGAAGAGAGAGAGAGAGAGATAGAGAGAGAGAAAGAGAGAGAGAGAGAGAGATAGAGAGAGAGAGAAGAGAAGAGAAGAGAAGAGAAGAGAGAGAGCGAGAGAGAGAGAGAGGGAGAGTGAGAGAGAGAGGAGAGAGCAGAGAGAGAATAGAGAGAAGAGAGAGAGGAGAGAGAGAGAGAGAGAGAGAGAGAGGCAGAGATAGAGGCAGAGAGAGAGAGGCACAGAGAGAGAGGCAGAGAGAGAGAGAGGCAGAGAGACAGAGGCAGAGAGAGAGGCAGAGAGAGAGAGAGAGGCAGGGAAAGAGAGGCAGAGACAGAGAGAGGGCAGAGAGAGAGAGAGAGACAGAGAGAGCAGAGAGAGCAGAGAGAGAGGCAGCTCAGTCACACTTAAATCCAGATTCGTCCTCACCGAGTCCCACCACCAAGGGAGCGCCAGCAAGGAGATGCACATATGGGGATCCCCACGCAGTGAATAATTTATTTTTCGTCGAAAATCCCCCTGTAGGGGGACAGGCCCGACCTAAGGGTGGCCCCCTGGCAGGCCGTCCGGGAGAACGCCAAGCTGAGGCAGCAGCTGCGGTTCCAGGAGAACATCCACAGGAGGGGAGGGAGGGAGCCAGCAGATGAAAAGTAAAGGGAGGACCTCGATATCCTTCGAAAAAGAAGAACCAAACACATAAACGTATACTTTCGGCGCCCCGCGCGGATTGCGTATGTCTGCGCTGAACCCCCTTGGCGGCGCCTCTGGCACCGCCTCTGGCGCGCTCTGGGCGCTAGGGAGTGGGGCCCAGCGCAGATCCAGGAGGTCCGCGCGGACCTCTGAAGGTTTCTGTTAATTCAGTTGTCTCATCTTCTAGTCAGCAGAGAGGGGAACATAGGAGGACCGTGACGCCCGCTCGTCGCAGAAAAATCACGTCAGGAGATGTGTTGGGCTGTTCTCGGCGTCTGGGGGGCCCTACATACTGGGGCCTGGAGCCGTCAAAAAATGCTCGGGTTAAGAGCCAGTCCTGGGGAAGGGGTCCAGGGAGCCACGTTGTGAAAAGTCACGATGCCAGATGTCTGCGGGGTTTGAAAGCCAGCGGAGAAAAAGAGGTGGGAGGAGGAGGAGGAGGAGGACGAGGAGGAGGAGGAGGAGGAGGAGGAGGAGGAGGACGACGACGACGACGACGACACGAGGGACAGGGTGGAGCAGTGGAGGGAGCTGGAAAAAGGTAGCGGTTGGGGGAGGAGGGAGAGGAGGAGGAGGAGGAGGAGGAGCAGGAGGAGGAGGAGGGAAGAGAAAGAGGAGGAGAGAGGGAGGAGAGAGGAATAGGAGGGAGGAGGAGGAAAGGAGGAGGAGAGGAGGAGGAGGAGAGAGGAGGACGACGACGACGACGACGACGACGACGAGGCGGAGGAGGAGGCAGAAGAGAAGAGCCGGACGGCCTGGTTCCGGGACGCCACCATAGGGCTCTTGGGTTCGCCACGGACGCAGGTTGCGAGGACGAGGACGAGGGGGAGGGGGAGGAGGAGGAGGAGGAGGAGGAGGAGGAGGAGGAGGAGGAGGAGGAGGAGGAGGAGGAGGAGGAGGCGGAGGAGGAGGAGGAGGAGGAGTCGTGGAGTCATGGAATCCAGGAAGGGAAGCGGTGCTCTCCAGGGACAGCCGATCACCCCTGGCCTCCCAGAAGGGAGGAGCCGCGCACCCGCAGGAACGGAGCACGCGAAACGGGCAGAGGATAATTAGTCAAACGCCTCGTTGCCCCGTGACTCGCCGCCCAGACGAGATGGCATGGTTCGTGTGGGGGACGGTCGATTCACCTCGTTACCGCGAGGGCACTTCCCGACCATCACCCCAGCCAAATCGATTGGCATGTACACCTGGGTTGGTACCCCAGGCACCCCAGGGCGAGCGGGCGCGAAGGCCCCATGAGATTCGCGGACCACATGGCCCCGCCAATCAACCGAATGCAGAATCCCCGTGCCTGATGGCCAGCGCGGAGCATGGCACCAGCGTCACGGGCGCAGCTGAACACCACGGCTCCGGGCAATGAGCCACGGAGCAGATATTAGAGCGACAAGACCTGGCATGTTTGCCCCCAGCCGTAACGCGCAGTTGCCTATGACTGTGTCCCCGCGGCGAACGGCCGAACACCAGGATGCGGTATCCAGCAGAGCAGCAACTGCCCTGGGAGGATGAGGATTGAGGAGGAGGAGGAGGAGGAGGAGGAGGAGGAGTAAGAGCAATGGCAAGAGAGAGAACTGGAGGAGAGAGAACTGGAGGATGAGGATCAGGAACGGAAGCAAGAGCAGGAGAGAGGAGGAGGACGAAGAGAGGAGGAAGAGGGGGATGAGGGATCGGGAGCCGCAAGTGTCGCCAGGGGTCGCCTGGACACCCGTCCCGTGGGCGGCGTGGAGTTTGTCGACGAGAGCAAATGAAGCGGGACCCTCCAGACCTCGACGGCGCCCGGCCAGCGCCACCTGACTGCGCTGGAGCACGCGGCACGGGAGATCGGGCGCCGCCACATCCAAGTCATGGCGCGGCTGGGGCTCTCCTTCGAGGAGCTCACGACGGGCCGCACCGCCTGCACCCTGGCGAAGGTTTTCTACGGCGCCGAGCTGTGCGTACGTCTGGGCGGCTTTCAGGCGACGCTCAACACGAGCCACGAGCGCTGGGCCAGGCAGGCGCTCGCAGTCCAGGGGCCCATCCCGTGAGCACTGCTGCTGCGCTGCATGTCGTGGCCAATGCGGCTAGCGACGACCACCAGGTCGCCCACCGTCCGCTTACACGCCCGTGCCCACAGCGACCCCAGGTGCGCGACGGCCCAGCAATTGTCCCCCTGGCTCAGGAGGAGCAGGGCACCTGGTCGGCGCACCTGCGCAACTTCGCAGCGAGCTGGGATGCCCCGCCCGCGCCGAGCCCCCCAGCGGGGCCATCGGCGAAGGACAGGCTGCGCAGCGCGTTCGGGGCGGCCGCCCACGCGCAGGAGGCCAAGTGGGCCAGGGACCGGCCACAAGAGGAAGCCCTACAACGCTTGGTTGGTCTGTGCGCCACTGCGGCCGAAGTATCGGCGTCGGGGGCCACATTGGCCATAGGGAAACAAAAAGTGGCATACACATAAAAACTCGGAGGTCCGCGCGGATTTCTCGCATCGGCGCTGGACCCCCCTCCCTGGCGCGCGGAGCGCGCCAGGGGCGGCGCCGGAGGCGCCGCCGGGGGGCCCCAGCGCCGATCCGAGAAATCCGCGCGGACCTCCGAGTTTTTATATTCACGCCACTCTTTGTGCCCCCTATGGCCAGACGCGGGCACGGGCCCGCTCCACCTGCAGACCGGCCCCGCACGCAGCGCCACGCGTGGGAGGCCCCCGCGCCCCCGTTCTGCGGCCGCGTTCCGCAGAGGTGCGCCAGCACCCCGTGGAGGACTGCAGCGGGGCGGTCGCGGCCTGCCGCAGCGCCGCAGCCAGGGAGAGGAGGGGGAGGAGGAGGAGGAGGAGGAGGAGGAGGAGGAGGAGGAGGAGGAGGAGGAGAGGAGGAGGAGGAGGAGGAGGAGAGGAGGAGGAGGAGGGAGGAGAGAGGAGGAGGAGGAGAGGAAAAGGAAAAGGAGAGGAGGAGGAGGAGGAAGAAGAAGAAGAAGAAGAGGAGGAGGAAGAAGAAGGGGAGGAGGAGGGAGAAGGAGGATGAGTATGAGAGGAGAAGGGGAGGAGCATGAGGAGGACGAGGAGGAGGAGGACGCCAGCGCCGCCAGGCGGAGCGGCGGTCCAAGACCGCTTGTCCCGAGAGAGAGAGAGAGAACAAAAAAAAAAAAAAAAAAAAAAGAGAGAGAGAGAGAGAGAGCCGCGCTTGGTTGCTAGACGGGAGCGGCAGCGCGCGGCAGCTTGGCGGAGGCGGCAGCGGAGGTAGTGCGCTGGTGGGGATAGGGGGGCGGGAGCACGGCGCCGAAGGGCCGAGGAGGTAAAAGGAACGAGTCCCCAAGTGGCCCCCCCGCCGCCGTCGCTGCTGCGGTCGCCGGCCGCTTGCGCCACCGCCGCGCCGTCGTGGGTTTCCCCATCGTCGCTGTGGCCGTCGGGCTCCCGCTGCCGTGTCCGGGCGCCCCGATCATCTTGACAGATCTGGAGCGCCCTCCCGGGGTGGCCCGGGCAGCCGAGTCGAGGCGCCTGGGCCGCCCCAGGCATTCTGAGCGCCCCCTCGGGGGCGCTCAGAGTCCCGCCGTCGGCCCGGGCGGCTGACCTGCGGCGCCCTCGGCGTCCTGCGGCCCAGGCGGCCCGCGCCCCGACCACCCCCACCGGAGGACTCGGAACGCCCCGCCCCCGTGGCGCCCTCGAAGGCCCCCCGGCGGGCACCCCGCAGCTGCCAATTCCGTGCTGGCCAGGCCACTTTCGGGCCGAACGAAAAGGGGGGATAGGGAAAGGGGGGGTACGAAATCTGCTGCATGCAGCTGGTTTCGGCCCGCCGCCGGGCCCAATCTTCGATACACATGGGCGCCTCCTGGCGCCGGGAGGCGCCGGGAAGATCAGCTACGTGAGCTGATTCTCAAACCCCCCTTTGCTACATCCCCCCCTTTCGCCCGGCCCGAGAATGGGCCCCCGGGTGCCGTCGGGGGTCCCCGGCGGCGGGCCCGGGCGCGGCCCCGGGGAGCCCAACGCCGGGCCTCTCTCCGCCTGGCGCGGGGTGCCCGCCGAGAGGCTCCCGGCCGCCGCCAGCGGGCGTTCCGTGGGTCGGGCACGGCTCGGGTGACCGCCCGCGATGCTTAGAGCCCGCGCCGCGCGGCCCAACTCGGCGGGCGGCCCACACGGGCCTCCTGCAGGACGGACAAGGAGGAGGAGGAGGAGGAGGAGGAGGAGGAGGAGGAGGAGGAGGAAGAGGAGGAGGGGGAGGAGGGGGAGCAGCAGGAGGAGCAGGAGGAGCAGGAGGAGCAGGAGGAGCAGGAGGAGCGGGAGGAGCAGGAGGAGCAGGAGGAGGAAGGTGGCGGGAGAACCGACGAAAGAAGCGCACCGAGTGAGGAGTGCTGGGAGGGCGCGGCACTGGGAAAGCCCCTTCCTCTGAGTCTTGGGAGGTCGGATCCGGGTCGCTTGGTAGGTTGCAGAGCCAGTACCGAAGAAGAAACATCTGCATAGACATGGTAAGGCTTCGGGCTGCGCACAGACAGCGCCACCGGGTAGTCCCAGCTGGCCTCAACAAGCCCCCCCGAGTAGTCTGCGGTCTTCACACCCGCAGCCTCCGACGACACCCGTGGGGCACACCGCAACCCAGTGTTATCGGTTGTTAGCGGTTGAGGTGTTGAGACCGCCCCGGAATCTTCGGGAGGCTTGTTGAGGCCAGCCGGGACTATCTAGGAAGGGGGTGTCTGTGCGCAACCCGAAGCCTTAGCACACAGACACCGTCCCTGGAGAGACGTTTCGTCAGAGAATCAGCTCGCTGTGCAAAAGCATGCCACCACCCAGGCACAGCAGAGCGAGCTCTGGAAGCGACGAGTCTACTCTCGGGCCACCCGAAGGCAGCCACGGCAACACGCAGGAGGAGCGCTTGCCACACTGCAGTTGTATATTAAGAAAATTTGAAACCTATCAGAGAGATACGGCAGCGAGGGGGAGGTTAGGGGGCCAATTGTGCATTCAAAGGTTTGATCGATTCGTGCTTTTGGAGCATGTGGAAATCAACATCGGAGGTGAGGGGGTGAGGTCGAAGTGGAATGGAGAGCCCCCCTACCGGGAAATCGATTTCGGTTTCGTGTTCGTGCGTGCCGTGCGTGCGGGCGAGGCGAAGCTGCGTGTGCAGGCGAGAGAAAGTCTCCTGTGGCTGAGGCGCGGCCGGACCAAATGTTTCCCTTCCGGGCGGCCGGTGGCGCGCGGTGTCCCGCTGGTGTCCCGCTGGTGTCCCGTCGGTTCTCCTGTGGCTGAGGCGCGGCCGGACCAAATGTTTCCCTTCCGGGCGGCCGGTGGCGCGCGGTGTCCCGCCGGTGTCCCGCTGGTGTCCCGTCGGCGTCCCGTCGGTGTCCCGGGTGTCCCGTCGGTGTCCCGTCGGTGTCCCGATGATGATGTGGATGATTATGATGATGATGATGATGATGATGATGATGATGATGATGATGATGATGATGATGATGATGATGATGATGATGATGATGATGATGATGATGATGATGATGATGATGATGATGATGATGATGATGATGATGATGATGATGATGATGATGATGATGATGATGATGATGATGGTGTTGTTGTTCTTGATGATGATGATGACGTCGATTGTGAGATCGATAGTGGGATCGATTGTGAGATCGATAATGAGATCGATTGTGAGATCGATAGTGAGACCGAATGTGAAACCGAATGTGAGATCGATAGTGGGATCGATTGTGAGATCGATAGTGAGATCGATAGTGAGACCGAATGTGAGACCGAATGTGAGATCGACTGTGAGATCGATTGTGAGATCGATTGTGAGATCGACAGTGAGACCGAATGTGAGACCGAATGTGAGATCGATTGTGAGATCGATAGTGAGATCGATAGCGAGATCGATAGTGATATCGATAATGAGATCGAATGTGAGATCGATAGCGAGATCGATTGAGTGAGACGTTGGTTCCCCCTCACCCCTCACCTCCTTATCACCCGCAGGGTGGTCGTATAGGTACGCGCGCACAGCTTTGTATCATGCGCTGTGTTTACGCTGCGCAGGTTGCGGCGGTGGACGCAGAGCCCGCGGCTCCAGTGATGGAGAAGTGCTGGGAACGCAGTCGGGCCCCGAACCACGAGGAACGGGATTGGGGAAATAGAGGGGAATCTGACGAGAATGGCGCAAGAGGACGGGGGGGGCACCAAGTCGGCCGCAAATATCAGGAAAAGCGGAAATGGACGGAGGACAACGCCAGACGCAGGTACAGATTCACAAGTCTTGACATTTCGCACAACCCCATCAATCCATTGCAGAAGCGATGCCCCCAGACGAGCTGTCGGGGCAGCTGCGTGATGCGGTCTTGGCAGTGGATGGCGCCCAGAGGGGGCCTGTGCGCAAAAACCTCCTGCAGGAAATCTCCTCCCCAGGGCGGCTGATCGAGGCAGGGGGTGCCCGAAACCACCACCCAGGGCAGCTGATCGAGGCAGGCGGTGCCCGAAACCACCCCCTGGGACAGCTGATCGAGGTGGGGAGGGCCCAGAGCCACCCCCTGGTGCAGCTGTGTTCCCCTGTGTTCCCACTGTGCTCCCACTATGTTCCCCTACGTTGCCCCATGTGCCCTCTTTGTTCCCCTAGATCCCTTCAGATCCTTGAAAGGCCAATGGCTGTTCCAATGTTTTTGGGCAGCTATGTTCCCACTATGTTCCTCTATGTTTCATAGTGCTCCCGCTATGTCCCCCTGAGTTCCCACTATGTTCCCACTGCTCCCAATATGTTCCCCCAGAAGGGTGGTTTTGGGCACCCCCCAGCCTCGATCAGCTGCCCCTGGGGGTGGTTTGAGTCACCTCTGGCGTCGATCAGGTGCCCCAGGGGGTGTTTTGGGATACCCCGCCGCTGGGGAATTTTGCGCGCGTGCCCCTTTTTGGGCGCGCCGCAAACGGCCACGATCGCTACATTACTGGACCTCCTTGCGAGAGCACCTTCGTTGCTTTGGTCCAGGCAGCGCAAGCGAAGGACATAGTGCCTCCGTCCGCGGACCAGGGTCCTGGACTGAAACCAGTGCCGCAGCATAGCGTTCACGTAGGCGTTGGCCGCCATGGAGGGCCGTATTTGAAAAGGCGCCGCCGAGAAGCAGACTAGTGCGAAGCTTAGGCTCAAATTGTAAATTCCATGGGCAGATTTCGACACAGTGGAGCGCACGTCATACCATCAGAACAATGTTTCGATTGACATACAAATGCCGCCGACGGCCCGTTAGTGGCGGTCTCGAAAGGATCCAAAGAGATTTCATCGCGCATCAGGCGAGCTTGATCTAAGTCCTTTTGAACTTTTCGGCGTGGGTGACGTTGTTGTCCACGACTGTTTTTGCGCTGCGCTCTGTCTTCTCGGAGATTGCATGTTCCCCCCCGATGCCCCCCCCCATCCTTCTTCCCCGTCGATCCCCTGCAAGTGTTTCTTTGCACCTGGGGATACGATGCAGGAGTTGCGGCCGCTGTGGTGGACGCGTTCGCGCTGCAGCGATGTAGAGTTGCGAGCCATAGCTTGCTGCCAGAGCGTTCCAGAGTGGTGGCCCGACGACCTCCGAAGACCGCCCACGAGAGCATCCAGAGGATCCGAATAAACTGCCCGCAAGGGTCCCCAAGGGTGTCGAAAACAGCGGACGGAACCGAAAGAGGGAGACGGAGCGACAAAACAAGGGAGCTAACTTTGCTTACATTCTCCTTTTAGAAGAGAGCCCTCAGCGGCCACGTGGGGGCGTCAAAGACGGCCCAAGAGGGCTCCAAGCGGGTGCCCAGACGGTCCGAGATCACTTCAGGAAGCATTGAGGACGGTCCAAGAGGCTTCCAAAACATGTCAAGGTGGCCAGAGAGGTCCTAAGAGTGCCACAAGAGGCTCCAAGAGACCTTCACGAGGCGGAAACATTAGCCCGAGGCAGCCAAAATCATCGAACACCGCTTGTTGTTGAAGGTGCTTGGCAAACTTGCGGGCAGCGGACACCCAGGACGCAGCAAGGGC